TTCAGGCCTGCAGCAACAGCCAGCACATGACTTTGTCACTGTGTTATGAATCACTGCATATTATAGCTCTTTTGGGGACTTACCTCCAACCTCCGTCTCAATCTCACTTCCTTGTGGGTGGTTGCATTCATCTGAAAGGTGATCACCAAACGTCTTGTTTTTCCCAATCAAAATGCTGCTTTCCCCCAGGTATGGAGAGATACCACTGGAATTCTCACGCACCCCTATCCTTGGCAGCCCTTTCAGCCTCTCACTAACAAACTTCATTACAAAAATATGGCACGCATGTACTTTTTCCTAAATGAACTTCCTGCTAGGTGCTAACACACCTCCTCAAACTATGAAGATTGCTTGGCTAGACTACTGTGTTCTCCTTGCTGGCCTTCCTTTCTGCCGTACCTCCCCCCCCTTCTTAACACAGGACACATCTGCTCAAAACCACAGCTCCCCGTTTCCAATCATGTACTTTGTAAGATCTCTGCAGTGCTTTCTGTAATTTCTGTAGCGAGTGTAAAGCTCTCAAACTATAGCCTTTACCACTCCTTGCTCTGCTTGGCAACCATGCTTCTGTGTTGTTGTCTTCACCCCATTATGGAGCATGGAAAGCCCCTCCCCTTGTTAAATCCCTCTTCAAAACCCACATCTTGTAGGACTCCTGAGCAACGTAACTGATCCCCATAGTTCTCTGTCAGCTGCCAGTCCGGTCATGTCCTCCTGTTTGCCACTTGCAAGGGACTGTGTTAGTTTTTATGTTTCTGTGGTACCTAGCATGCCATAGACATTCAATAAATGTTAATGCGCCCACCAGCTGAAGATTTCTGATCTCCAGACATACCTGCTGAAAAGTGTCAGAGGGTACCTGCTGCTAAGAACACTGATAAGCTAGAAAGATCTGTGTAAATGTGAAGCCTTTAGTTTGGAGACTGGATATTTTTCTTCTGCACCAATCCTCGTTCTCCACCACAATACACAGGCCATTTGCCCTCCAAGAGATTTGTTCACCACAATAACTGAACTGGGGAGGAGAAGGGAGGATGACTCAAGACTGCATTGCAAAAATGGTGCAACGCAAATGGAGCACTATTTGGTAACTCCGGCTTCAGGGTCTCCTGAGAACACAAGGCTGGCCCCCCCCTCACTCTGCCACCCACTGTGCTGTTTATCTGCTTCTTGACCTGGTCACCAAATAAGTGCAGGTTGCTAGATGGTGCTGATTGGCAGAGCACACAGAGCTAAGATCTTCACTTGGGTGAGAGCCACACCATGCACAGTCTTCATTACGTTTGCTTCTCCTTTCGTGGACACACTACAGCTTCTGCCCCCTCGGCACAAGACACCCTTCCATAGGTCTTGCTATCTTTGCTGGTTCTTCCTTCTTCCCTCCCACTTGTTACAAAGCCAAGACAGAGTCACTATTGTGCTCCTGACACGGCATGCCTTATTCAGAACCAGCATTCATTCATCCGCTATTCATTTTCCTGAATGCTGAACTTTCCACTTCTAGAGAAGCCTTATTAGCTGGGAGTTATGATGCAGCCTACAAGAGGGGCGGAGAGGCGATCAAATGGAGAACAGCCACGACTAAATATAGTCTGATGTCTACATGTGTTCAAGAATTTTATTCACATTTGGGGGGGGGGGGATTAAAATTCCAAGTATTTGTTCAGCATTCCAGTGCTTCTGCATTCATTGGTCAAGAGGCACTAGTTTTCATTAGCAATGAGCAACTACTCCTTTGCTTGACTGTGAATTGCAAGTAGCGTCCTTGAAACACTAAGAAAGATCTGCTTTCAATGTAGTATTCTGCACTGGCTCACAAACACTTAGCTCATGTTTTGGTGGGCTCTGTGTGGGCATGTACATAGATTCAAGGGAAGATACTGGTACAGAATGAACGCTTGGCTTTTCCCCGTCCCACCTGCCCAAACCCACCCAGATGCTAGTAAAGATACTCAGCAACAGAAGTGCTTTGCTACTTCATGATAGCTGTTCCTTCTCTTGGGAAGAAAAGCCAAGTGTGTGGCATGTCCTCCAAATTCAGCCACAAACACTTTGCACATGCACATTCTTACACGGTTACTTGGAAACCGTGGATCCTGTGTGAGGGCATTATATTGCCTAGATGGCCACACAACCATTGTCCAGACCACTGTGTGCATTGTGCATCACGTTGCCTCCTAAGCACTTGCTGAAAGCTGAACCGCCCCACTGTCTAGCATGACGATGAATGCCACTAACTGCAAAGACACAAAACCAGCACACACACACGCAACATACAAATTATTTAAAATGGCAGGTATAACAGTTTTGAAAGGATAAATCCAATTTGCAAATGGAATAAACTTGGGAAGGCTGCCAATGAAACTGAAGGGCAGCATACTCAGGACGGACAAAAGGAAATACTTCTTTACATAGAGAGTGATTAAAATATGGAATTCACTACCAGAGGATGGAGCGATGGCCACAGGAACAGACAGCTTTGCAAGGGGATTAGACAGATTCATGGAGGACACAATGGCTATTAGTCATGGTGACTAAAGGGAACCTCCATGTTCAAAGGCAGTAAACCTCTGAATATCAGTGTCAGGAAACATCATCAGGGGAAGGTCTTCATCTCTATGCCCTGTTGTTGGTCCTCCAGAGGAACTGGTTGGCCACTGTGTGAGCCAGGATGCTGGGCTAGAAGGAATACTGGCCTGATTCAGCAGGGATCGTCTTATGTTCTTGGGCCTAATGCTAGCCCTGATTAAAAAAAACATTCTAGGAATTTTGGGCTCACCAAATTCATTTTTACTTACTGTGACAAACGGAGCTGCATAGATCAATCCATGCAATCTCCAGGCCATGTTCTGCTGTATCAGCAAAGCTCTTATTAGCTTAAAAATGGTTTCCCCCACTACTGCGTTAGCAGGCAATTCAATTATAGCTAAGCAAGCAAATTGAGTCATTCATTTGCTAAAGCTGCTAATGCAAAGTAGTTTATTGGGAGAAAAAGATGGAAGTTCTCTTTAATTAGTATTTTTTTTTTAAAGAAAAAAATATACTGGTGTTTGAATAGTCTTGTCCCAATGTGACCTTGGGTACTGAACAGCTCTATTCTTGTCCCAACATGACCTTCAGTAGTGCACAGAACTATATGAACATTGATGCAAACCCAAATGCTTGACTATAAATGCCTACAGTGAATGTACTACGTGGGTCTTATACGCCTGAAACCATTAATATTAAAAACCTAAGTTTAAACAAGCTTGACACTTGTGCATTTGCCTCATCAGACCAGTCACACATTTAGAAAATGATTTAAAGTGTTGTTTTCAATTCTGAGCTTATCCCTGGATTGGCAACGCATGCACAGACGGCCACTTGGCAGTACAGTTCGTATTCTTGCCTATTTCTTGTGGTATTAAATCCTTCTGCCATTAAGACCACCCAAATAAGCAAGACCGAATTCACATCTTCCATAGCATCACTCCTGTATGGCCTTCTGAATTGGGCAGCGGCACCAAGGTTTTGTTAGGCAAGGAGGGCATGTCGGAATAAAAGACCCACAGCCGTGTTTGAGTTCATCGTTTCATTCTCTAGTTTAACAAAAACAAAACAAGAAGTATGACACCAACTATCACAGCGCCAGGAAGAAGCAGCCAACTTGTGAGCTGCCCTCATGAAGGAGGGGCTTTCAAGGGCAGAATCTGGGAGGGGGAAGGAAGGAAAGAATTCAACTGCCACTGAGTGGCATGGCAAAACTCAGTACTGCTGGCAGACTGGATAACATCATCCTTCGCCTCTTCCCAACAAGTACCACAAAACTCGCGGCAGCACAAGCTTTGTCATTTGCTCTGTACCCCCGTTTGGTTATTCTTGTAAGAGGCTAGTTCAGTTTGGGGGCTCACGGGGGAGGATTTCCTCAGTGTGAGAGTCAGCCAATCATTACCAGGAACTGAAAACAAGTCGATTTGGCTTGATTCGATACCGGGGCTCATCATGACGTCACTTTGTTCCATCATTGTCTAAACAGGCTATTGCTCGACCATACAAATCAGACTGCAGGGTCTTGGTTATTCCCTTAAAGCAAACCAAGTACAACCTTTGGCTGGCTGGGTTTGCAGGGGTGAAGCTGAGTGAGCTGTGCCATGATTATGGATTCCGATCCCCAGTGGCAACTGAATGGGGACCGTCAGAAAATGAAGCTGATCTTTATTGATTCGTATATGATGGGAATTGACGTTTTAACTACTTAAGTGCCAGTGAGATGCAATTGTTAGGGGTTCATTCCCCACCCACCCCATTATTATTGTTGTTTTTAATTTGATCAATCCCAAATTCCTGCCACCTCATCAGGGCACCATACTATACTAAAAAAACCCAATTAATTAAAAAGTCCTCCTCTCTCAGTAAAAAACATGTAAAATGGGCAAAAACTACGCCTGGGAAGACATATACATAACAAGCTTTCCCCCACATCCCTTTGCTTAGATTAAGCATAGGAGACATTAACTTCCACCTATCCGGCCTCTGTATTCCATGGTATCGCTGTACCATGCAGCAAGTTGTTGCAAGAAACTGGGAGCTTTCTGTACGGCCATGGATGTCTGTTTGATAAGGGTGCCAGGAGGCTATGAAGATGCAAGATTCATCCCTCCAGCAAGTTGCCCGCCCTTAGTTTCAGAGCATCATCTTTGAACGTGTGGCAGTCCCTTCTCTCCGTCTTTCCCTCCAAGACTAGGAAAATGCATTTTGGCATCTGTTTCAGAAGGCTGATGCCTTGACCCAAGAGACTGGTTGCTCCCCTGGAAACAGAGAGGCAGGCGCTCACGTCTCCATGGAGCTTCCACAGCCTCTGCTGTTGCCACTACCAGCCCTTTCCTGGATAATGCTACAATGACCTGCTGAAGGATTCATTCAGCATAGGCCTGTGTCAGTTCCATATACCCCAAATACCTCAGCCACATGGGTCTCTTGGCATCCTCTTTCCCCCCTTTTTTGCCTCATCTTGGGGGGGGGGGAGAGGTGTCTATAAAGAAACAGAAAGCCAGCCAATGATACCCAGAGAGCCGTTTTCTCTTTTTGCACTCGAGAATCTCTTGAACTGGAGTGTAGAATAAAGCCAGGGGCAGCCCTTTCCCATGCTACAGTTCATAAACTCATGAGTTCCTTCTAATTTATACTGGCAGGGAAGAAACAAAACCATAGATCACACACACACACACACACACACACACACACATCTCTTTACCTAGAAATCAATGAAGTTTGAAGTAGTCCGAAAAGAACCAAGTCTTTTATCTAAAAATTGGTCCGAAACCTGGAAATCCCCTTGGCTCTACCAGCCAAGTCCACATCCAGAAAGCTTGCACAGCTGAGACGAACGGACTTCCCAGAACGGATACCCGCTTCCAGGGGTGGCCAGAGCATCGTCATCACAAACATTCCCGCCCCCCAAGTGTTGCAGCCGTACTTGATAGGCAGCTCTTCCCCAACCAATGACACATAATTGCAAAGTTTCCATTCTCCGATCAGCCTGGCGGTTGTGGCCATGTTGTTGAACACCGAACAAGCAGTGGCGTGCTTACAACAGACGTCTACCTGCATGCCAGCAACGATACAGGGTGTTCACCTAACAAGAGGCAACATGCTGTGGTAACAAGATGAATCTCAGTTGCTTTTGTAGTTATCGTCGGTATCCAGGTGCCAAAACAGACGATGAAGCTGAGTACGCATGAGGAGCAGTAGTTATGTGCAAGTCTCCCGTTTATTTTAAGATGATGTGGTAACTGTCATTGGTTTCAGCTGCAGAGGAAACATATACAGCATCAGATTCTGGCTGAATGCGATGGCTGAATTCCCTGGTCCCACATTCAATACCCACAGCGACAGAGGAAGCTGACGCATAGGACATTAATCTCATAAATACCAGTTTGTTTTATAGTGGGAAGCAAAAGTCCAGAGAAAGTAAAGGCCGATTAGGGAGCTGGCTAACACAGACATTGTTAAGCATCAAACAGATTGTTACCTTTCATTGTGTCCAAGACAAAACATGACTCATCTTGAAAGTTCTGTATCATCTATGAATGAAAACAAACAGCAACTTTAGGGATCCAGGCTTTACTCATCCAAAAAGGAGAACGGCAACATTTTAAATGTGAAACATGTTCAAGCAATGTGCCCAGCCCTAAGGTTCCCACTCACTTTCTTCGTAATTGACTGGCCTTGACAGAAGCCTCACCTTTGCTCTGCATGTCAAACAGCTGCCCTTCTCGAATTGCTACCCTCGAAATCATTAGCCTCAATGGTGAGTGATTGAAAAGAGAGATGGCGGGGAGGAAAGAAGACAGACGTGAGATGACAAGTGACACTTGCCCTTCTTTAGACTCCTTGGGAGAATCCAGGCAGGCCGGGGACGACGGGGGGGGACACGTCACTTCCAATGTAACAAAATAAAATAAAAATAAATAAAATAATAAAACAATTAAATCAAATAAAAGGACGATGGGAACCAACAGTCTCCTCCGTGTTCAGAGCAGGCCGCAAGAGTCGTGGCGGTGGTGGCACTCCCAGGGAAAAAGCAGCCGCAGGGGTTGCAGGACAGAGTGGCCCACCTGCACAGCCGGCCTCCCGCCCCCTTCCCTGGTCCACTTGGGAGAGCTAGATGGCCGACAGCAAAGCCCTCATGGGCTACGAAAAAGTGACACAGCAGCTCATGTGGGCTTGGGAGGGATGGGGAGGGGAGGGGGGGCTGGGAGGGATGGGCAGTGAAGGGGGAGGGCTAATTTGGCAGGAGCACTGCTTTCCATAGGTCCCCAACCAAGCTGCAGGAGCTGAAGTACGGTGAAAGGAAATGAACGAGCTTATGTCACCTAAGCATGTATGAGAGATATTTTACTGGTGTTCCTTTATCAGCGACACACACACATTCTTTGAAGACACTTATGTACAAGCCAACACCAAGCTTCTCCACCCCAAGGAAGAAGGTATGTGGTAACATATGGTCACTGCCGCCCAATGTAGTTGCTAAATCCGACTATTATTTTCAGTTTCCCATTGAAATCAGTTTGGGCAAATTCCCATTTGGAAATGTATTTATTTATTGGATTTATAACCCCGCCCTCCCCGCTGAAGCAGGCTCAGGGCGGCTTATATAAAAGTGTTAAAACAGTTTAAAACACATAAGATCTAAAGTGCAATTCATATATATTTCCTATGCAACGGCAGTCATAGTCCCTTATGTTCTGAACAGGAGTCAATTAGTACAGACTTAGGCAGGGGTCATTTCGTAGAAAAAGAGGTGCAGGAGCTCATTAGCATAACTCATTAGCATAACTTATTTGCATATGCCACACCCCCTGATATCACCAGAAGTGTGTCAGAAGGCAACAGCCACCGCTCAGGCTCCATTGGATTGTTTTGGATTGCTAGCTATTGGGGGCGGGACGTGCAGATCTGTCCTCGCAGAGGAGGGAGAGCTTGTACCTGAATAAAACTTGGTCTTAAAGGTGCCACTGGACTGTTTTGGACCAGGGGGCCAGGGAGGACTCTGCAGCTTACCTGGCTGCTTCTTGCTCTGACTGAGGGCTGCTGGGAGCAGGGGGTGGGGCTTGTTGCATGTGCCCGCCCCCTGGGCTCTTTACTGCCGGAGCTCCGCTCCTGTGCGCTCCTGCAGGAAATGACCCCTGGACTTAGGTGATACAGACAATCCCAGGGAGGCTTCAAGTTATCAAGACGTTAAGTATGGTTGAATGCCTGGTGAAACACCTCTTGTCTTGCAGACCCTACATGTAGTTAATAGATCTGTGATCTCTGACAGTTACTCCTTTGCTTCTAGTGTCCCCGCTTCTCTTTTGATGCTAAGAGAGCAGAGGAGCAGAACTAACTGGCAATGCCAGAACTAACCGGCAATGCTGTTCCCAACTCCCCAAGTCCCTGCAGATTGCCGGAGCATGCTCACCTCGTCGCTGATGAGGACGTGTATCCCCGTGGGACCTTGTTTGTAGATCTGGCTTATCTGTTGCGAGGAAATGCTGAAGAGTTGGGCTATTTTCTCCGTCAGCTCCACCGCGGTCAGCTCCTCTAAGTAGATGGCATGATAGACTGCAGCAATGGAAAACAGTGGTGAACAACACCTAACAAGGAGCACTTCCAAGTTGACCACTGGGGGGGGGGGGACACACACCTCTCACAATTGAGCTGCTGAATAAAACCCCTGGAGAGGACACAGGAAGCTCAATATTAACTTGCTCCTTAACAGATATTAAGAACAAGGCTTTACTCCTTTATTCATTCATTCTAATCCACCCTTTTCCCCTCAGGCTTAAAGACATCAACCGATTTAATGGAACAAGAACACGTGTTTCCTGACCATTGAATTTTTGCTTGAATACGTATTTTTTTTGCTCCTAGAACAGAATGCACATCATGAAGATCTCCGGGGAGGCCTGCAAGTTGCCTAGAGGACACTACTTACTCAGAGTGCGCTCTCTCTCTCTCTCTCTCTCTCACACACACACAATTAAAAGTCATGCCATGAACCAATTGTTTGCTTTACAGTTTCAGAGGGTAGCTGTATTGGTTGACAGTAGAATAATTAGATTCGAGTCCAGTGGCATGTCTGGCGAAGGGCGCTTTCACCCTCATAAGCATATAACCTCAAAATCTTGTCGGTCTTCAAGGTGCTACTCTTATCTAATTGATTTACAGTATATTTCTAGGCAGAGTTACTCCAGTCTAAGCCCACTTTTTTCAATAGCAGCACAATAAATTGGGGATGGGGGAATTTTTAGGTTTAGATCCATGGTAGTTTTTTTGTTTGTTTGTTTGTAGAAGAGCGCCCCTTCTAAGAACAGGCCTGCCACCCATATAAGAAGCCAGCTTTCACTCCTCTCTCCCCATCTATTTTCTTTCTTTCCACCTCTTCCCTCCCTCTTTCTTACTCTTTTTCCTCCCTCCCTCTCTCTTTTTCTCCCTTCTTCCTCCCTCCCTCCCTTTTTCCTTCCTTCCATTCCTCTCTCCCCATCTATTTGATTTCTTTCCACCTCTCCCCTTCCTTCCTTCCTCTTTCTTCCTTCCTACCTGTCCCCCTTTCTCCTTCCTTCCTTCCTAGAACAAAACAGAAAGGGGGATAAGAAGATTAAAATTACTGAATAAGAGTTTGGAGAGAGCAAAACCCAGATTTAAAGGGTAGAATTAACAGAGAAATGCATTTTTGTTGGAGGGTTTGGAGCTTGTGTTTCAAGGGTTCTACAGGAAAGTCCAGATGCGGGGATGCCTAATATAGTCTACACAGAGTGTGAATACAGCACATTCTAGAGTAACTTTCAGCTTGTAATTAAATTGGGCAAAGTGTGGTGAAAGTTTTCTTCAATTTTTAATGCAAGTTAAATATATATTGCCAGCATACTTAGAATCAGAGATGGAAGGGACCTCCAGGGTCATCTAGTCCACTCATAACTTTAAGGCTAGCAGATCTTTCAGCTCATGAAGTAGAATTTCTGCCCACAAGATGACATGGTTTAGAGGAAACACTGGTGGGGAGTACCGGGGGGGGGAGCCCCATCAAGCACATGGATTACACATTGTATCAGTCATACCCCAGAGCTTTGCAAAGAGATCCATCAAGCTGTGCCTCTGCCAAAGGAGAGATTGATACTACTTTTCCTGTAACCCTTACCGAAGAAAGTACTGTTGGCTGCATCTCCATCCTCGTGCTTTTGCTGGTCCCTCAACTGCTGTGACTCTTGGCAGACATAGATAGTCAGCCTTGGCCGTACCATCCTGTGGAGGAAGGAAGAGGTGAGCACTGAGGAGTTGAAAGTGAGTTAACTAAGGACAGAGCAGCAGAAAGAAAGAAGTGGCACTTCAGTAGGAAACAGAAAGCCAAAAGCCAGTTCACATATTAAGAAAAGGGCATGTGGCACCCTCTTTCCAGGATAGAATCCATTCAGAACACTGGTGGACCATTGCATTTTTATGGCTTTTCCACCACATCAAAAAGTCTCTCTGCCCATGGAGAGCACCGGATTAAGCAAAGACACATAATTATTTCAGCATCTGGTTACCTGACATCCGTAGTGGAAGGGAGTTCTTGGCTCACAGTGAGCCTGAAAAAAGAGATTTCCAGCTGGCAAGGTGACAGCAGCCTCAGTGCAAATTCAGTTTTAGTTTACTGCAGATCCGGTCTGGAGACTGACTGTAAGTCCCCAGCCTGAGAGAGATCCAGCTGTCCCCAACCAACTTTCTGCCCTGGCCCCCACCCGGTGGAACTCTCTGCTTGGGAATCTCCATGCGCTGCAGGATTTGTTAGCTTTCCGCAGGGCATGTAAGGCAGAGATCTTCTGCTAGGCATTCGGCTGAGGACTGCGACGGTACAGTAAATAGTCTGGTATTCTCATACCCTCCATTCTCCACAGTGCCCCCCCCCAGCCTGTGAAATCTGAATTTTTCCCCCCACCATCTTGAATCAACTAAATTGTGCTGATGAATTATTGGTATTGTATGTTTTAGGTATTTATTCTTTGAGTGTTAACTTAATTACTTATTGTATGTCCTCTCCTGTTGTAGGACACCCTGAGCCTTGCTTGCAAGGAACGGTGGCCTAAAATCTAATTAGAGAAACAAATAATTCTTTTTGTGTAAACATCTCATGCTCCCTACTTAGATCATGCCAGGAATCTCTAATTAGCCCAGCAGTGCAGGAAGGAGCAACAGAATAGCAGCTTCTGAACCAGCAGTGGAATGTAAGGAGGCAGCCTACGGTCCATCTAAAACCCATCAGAACCAGGGAGAATGCCTGCACAGAGATGTAAAATTTTTGGAGGTTTTGAAGCCACTTTTGGGGGAGGGTGCATCTGTGTGGCAATTCTGGGAAAAACTGAAACATACACAATACTTACTTTCCTATTAAACCTAAACTTGTTTTACTGATTTAATGTAAAATGCAGCATTCGTAACTTAGTTACCCGATAATATATGCATGCAATATAAAGCATAAATGGCCTTACGTTTTCTATATGAAAAATCATACATTTACCCAGGACTCAAGTTGCAAATTTCTGTACCCTATGCTACCAGAACATATGTATCGTAATTTCTGCCATCTGAGAGGAAGGAAAAAACAAAAACTGAAGGCAGATTTGGTTGTAAACAAAAGAAAGTGTATTATTTGGACAGAAACTCTCAATGTGTAGGGCTTCTGACTATCAAGTGACTTATAAAATTGAGAACACTGAACTCTTGAACAATGTGTTATCATTAAACACAGTACAGAACTGTTGCCAAAATTATTCACATTTAAACATTCTTGAAAATGTGTTGTAATATATCTACAGTATACTTAGGAACTATCTAATGCTGTAGATTATCTTTCACATAATTATTCTTACTACACATTTTAAGTAAAAGTTTGTCTTAAAAGCATTCCACTTATTCCAAATGGGGGGAGTTCCCTTCAGTGCTCCCCATAATTCCTTAAAGGTACCATTAGGAAAAACTGCAAAAAGTCAGAAAACTACACACACACACACACACGCTCATTTTCCTGTTCTCTCCCCCCCCCCAGGCTTTCACATCTCTATGCCTGCATCGTCACATCTGCAATGCCTCTCCTCCCCCTGGGCTCAGAAATATATGCATTGAAGTTGGCAGCAGCTGTTCTAGCCAACCAGCCACTTTACGATCCATCTGTGGAGACTCCTTCAGTGTTGCGGTTTCTGGGAAAGTGAAAGCCTTGCATGCCGCTGTTGGTGTACTGTAAGCTGTCAGGAAGGGAGACCAAAGTACTGAATGAAGAAGATGTAGGAAGAGAGCCAAAGGATGCAGACAGAAGGAAACTATGAGGAAGAGAGGCTAACAGAAAGTTTATGGACTTATAGGATGGGGAAAGAGGAAAACCAAGGGGAAAACTGAGAAGTAGGGGGTCCTATAGAGTCCTATCAGAGCGGGAAGAGACAAGGGTAGCAACGGACTGCAAAGAACCCTGTGGTGAAGAAATAAAGCAGCAATGCTGATTTGTGAGCAGTGCATGGGGGAAAGGGTTAATAGAGGTATGCAGAGAATGGATATAGAAAAAAAACCAAACAAAGAATGGGTTAAAGAGAAGACACCAAGTCAGAATTGGAGCAAAAAATGTTTTTTTCTGCTGTTAATATAGCAACATAAAAATGCCCCTGAAAGTAATTACAATCATGCACTCCTTGCTCTAAACACTTCTATCAAGATGGTCCTCATGGCAGTTAATGGGCTGCATTGGCAGCGTTTTATTTTACCATGCAATATTTATGCTGCTCAACAGTACAGATGTCCATAAGGAAGAGTATTTATAGAAAGCATTTTTTTAAAATACACATGCCATCTCCAGATTCTGCAGTGATGCAGCTCTGGGAGGTCTGTACCACATTGTGCTTTTGCTGAATGACTGAATCAGCACTCGTTCTATCATTTATGGAGCGCTTGAAAAGCTTTGTGTTTGCCTTCCCAAAAGTTTTCTACAGGTAGGTCATGAGCATTTTATCAATGAGAAAATAAAGGCTAAGCGATGGGAGGCACATGGAAGTTGCCTAATACTCTGCTCGTTATCCCGCAGAATCCATTGCCATTCTGAGTGGCATCAGCCCCCCAGGTCCCAGGCAGAGATGCCTTTTCCAGCCTTCTCCCCTTTAGATCCTTTAACTGGGAAGGTGGTGATTGAGCCTGGAGATCTACAAAGTTATGTGATGTTGCTAACCACAGGGATAGAAAGGCATCCTGGTGCATATTTCCAATTCTCTGTAAGGGAGGCCAATTTTAGCTACACGTTGCTTTTTGAAACACCACAAGTGAGTTTCTTGAAAAACATTTGGATGTACAGATAAAGATGAGTAGCCATGTTAGTCTGTCTGTAGCAATAGCAAAAAAGCAAAAGTCCAGTAGCACCTTAAAGACTAACACAATTTGTGGCAGGGTATGAGCTTTTGTGAGTCACTGGTATCTGAAGAAGTGAGCAGTGATTCACGAAAGCTCATACCCTACCACAAATTTTGTTAGTCTTTTAAGGTGCAACTGAACTCTTAGTCTTCTCTACTGCTTTGGATGTATATAATCCAGACCTATTAATGCGTCCATTAGCCCTATAACCTTCTTTCTTGTCACCTCTATTTGACTCAGTTCTTCCAACATCTTCCCTAAAAGGATCAGTAACTTCTGTACATTTTCCGCAGTCAAAATCAAATCAAAGGATTTTTCAATTTCTCATAATCACCCCCATCTTATTTTGGCAATCTTCTCACTCCTTTGCCATCCAAGGTCCCACTATCTGAGCTTTCACTGGAATTACAGTGTGGTACAGTAAGGTTCGGACTCGGGCCTGGGAGACTCTGCCATGGAAGTAACCTGGCTGACCATGGGCGTGTAGCTGTGTCTAACTTGCCTCCCAGTGCTGCTGTTCTGAGGACAAAATGGAGAAAGAAACCATGTATTCCACCCTGAACTTCTTGAAAGAAGGGTAAGATAAAAAGGTATTAAACATATATTGTGGATTTACACAATTCCAAGCATCCCTGAAGGGAACTAACCCTTTTTACTCTCCTCCTTTCAAGTAGTCCCCTCATTTTGGATAAGTTTCCTCTTCAGAAATGTGACCGTGCCAGGAGTTTTGAGCAACTTTCTACTCACATAAATGCTGAACTTAATAGCCCCCTGAGCAGTGTTGCCAACTGGTAAGACAATTCACCTTACGCCAAGTACCAAGCATCACTTAGGTCCATGGATGCCTCTTGTCTAGTTGGCTCCATGACTAACTGCACTGAGACACAATTATTTATAGTACTGAGAAATTAAGTATCTCAGCCTGAATGTAATTTAAGGATCACGGAAGTCACCCACTATGACATGGCTTCTCCCCTGGTTTCCTTCCATATCTTCTCTCCACTTCAAGATCACCCTTAGAGTTTCAATTATGTAGGTCATTAACATGCCCTCAGTAGTACATTCCATTTCAGGGCTGATGCTTTCTACCATAGAAATTCTGTAGGGGGAGTCTTTGCTTCTTAAGGTTTCTATTCTACTGAGTTATATCCTCTGACATCCAGAGCCACTTCACTCCCAATGCAACCCCTTCAGATGTGGCTTATAGCCAGCCATGCTTTCATTTTACACTGAGTAATCTAGTCCTCTCAACTTGGTTCAAAGGCTTCTAGAATTTACACATGAACGACTGTAACTTTGCTTTCTTCTCCAAGTGCTGGCAGTGTTCATATCCCCCCTATGTCTCTTAAGGCTCCTTAAATGGCTGTCATTTCCTGACACATTCTCATACTATCAAGTTTTGGCCTGTGTCCATCTAAGATTTTCTGGACTAGTAAACATACCATCCCTTAGGGAGGAGTCAAAACCAAACTGGATGCTCTACAGCTTCTGTTTTTCCCCAGGAGTTCGTTTTAAAGCCCATTAAAGCTTTGGTGGGTATTCGCAACAAATGGTGGTTGTTAATTTTATCTATGCTGCTGAAATATGCTATCAGGCACCATGGCCAACTGCAGCTCATTTATGATACATGTGCAAGGGGACACAAAGACATCCATGTACACCGATGTTCCATTTCAATGCATGTGCAGTACAGGAGTACAACATGTGCCCATTAAAATGTATAAAGCAGTTCTTGCTCTACCTTGCTTTGACAGGTGTTCAAAAGAGATGGGATTGCTGATTATGCACGCTAATTGGACTTTCCTTTTACAGGAAGCTCCATGTGTCTTCTTCCAGATAGGAATATAAATCAACTCTAGGATCAATTTACACATCAGCTCCAATTTTGAAGCTTGGTAACTCAAGAGGCACTTAGGACCACAGTTCAGGAAAGAACTTCTAACTTGCTTGCTCTCAAGGGGCTCACAGTAAACCCTGCTTCTGTTAGAGTGGTCCATCTTTCCCAGACATAGTGGGAAAGCAACACCTATGTATCTACTCTCTGTAAATGATCTTTACACATCACCTCTTAGCCTCCAAACCCCGCTACTGCCCTTGGCAACCAGATGATGCTGTTTTATATGTCATCAAGACCATTGGTCTACCTAGCTCAGTACTGTTTTTACTTTTATTGGCAGCGGGGCTCCAGCTCTCAGCCAGAATAGGGCCTTTCCACAACACCTGCCAGCTATGATTCTTGCAACTGGAGATGCTAGGAATTGAACATGGGTCCTTCTGCCTGCAAGCCTGTGTTCTACCTCTGAACTATGGATTCCTTTGAGTCATCATCTGCTGATTCTGTTGTGTTTCATGTTTGCGTTTTTGCCCTCACTCCCTTAATACTTCCATTCATCCCCACCATCAGCTCTAGAGACTACAGCAATTAACACATTAGGCAGAAGTAAGTAAATCAATTCGGGGGGGGGGGTGCATTTGAAAATAACTCTCAGGCTGCATGGAGTAAATGAAGCCCCCAGCAGTACCCCCCAGCCATTGCGACAGCAGCATATTTCAGCACTATCTCAGCAATCAGAATTGGAACATTAACTCCGTGGCATGGCATGGCATGGCCTCTCACTGCCCCTCAACAGATAGCCAAGTGTTGTTCGCAGCAAAAGCCGGTCAGTATCAGCTCATTCATTTGAAGGACCAGCTACATTTGAAGAAACTGAAAAGCTTGTAAATCCCATTTCAACACAAGAGGGGCAAAATCAGAATGAACACACAGCGATCAATATGTCACAGAGAATTAGTGAGGAACTCTAAAAGGCAAACTGTCTTTAATGAATGGACATATACTGCTGCACTGCCCTTTCTATGGTGATCTTAGATATATCTTTATTACCCCTATCCTCCAAAAAATCCCAGGAAGATCAGAATAATGGTACATCTCCCTTCTTGCGGACCTTGAATCTGGAAACTTGGATAGAGCTGCCAGATTCTGTGCAGCTTCTGGTGTCTACCAAGGCACAGTGTTTATTTAGTGACAGCTACTTTTAAAAAATATATTTTAATGGAAGATTGCATACATATTCTTATAACCACGCTGCTAATATGTTTCATTCTGCTGGTCTTTGACTGAAACAAGTTACTGAAATTGATTTAAAACTGTCTTTAATGAAGAAGCTGTAAAAGTTTGCTTATCAGTCCTCCTCTTAACAGCTAGAAGCATCTTTTATGTCCAGTTTAAGCTCTGGTTTCTGCACAGAATTGTGAACCAACTTGACATTTCTAGTTCTTCAAGAACTCAGCCACCAGGAGTTTTGCTGGGTCTGCCTTACTGCATATCTGGTCAATTACGGGGCACCACCATCCTGTCAAAATTCTCTTCAGTCTCATCAAGGTGTTTTGCCACATACCAGTAAGTGTTTGAGTACCAAAAAGTATTTAAAAAGCAGAAGCCCTGCTTTCATTATTGCCCAGAGTATGAGCTTCCTGCAACTGTCCAGAAACCCATTTTGATGCTACGCACCGTCCTTTTAATGCATTGAAGAGTCTGATGCCATCCGCAGGACCGCAGATCTGTATGACATCTTCTCTGGTTAGTTTCAATAAATCAGCCCCTGGGATGGAAAAACCAAAGAGGCAGGGGAAAGAGAAAAGGTTAGATGGAACGATGAGTCAGCAGCTGTTTAAACATGGCAGATCTCACACTTCAGGCCATACTTTCTACTTAGATGCTACCTAAATCAGCAGACCAACACAGCAAAGCTTTGCACTCAGTCAAAACTGTCCTGGATGCCAGCCTGTGAAGAGAAACACGTCTGCTTCCTTCTACTGCTGCTTTTAAAACTCCTTTTTCCCCATGTTGTGACTGTTTTGCACAGCAATGGATGGCAGTAGCATCAAACAGCAAAAGACATATGTCTACACTACTGGGAGAGGATGAGGTCAAGGACAAAATGCATAGATAAGATGGAGGTGCTTAAGAACCATGCATGTTGCCTTGAACCCCTTCAAAGAAGGGTGAAGTAAAATTTGATTTATTTATTTTATTCAACTTATATCCCGCCCTCCCCACATGGCAGGCTCAGGGCAGGTTACACCAAATTTGATAAAAATACAATATATACAATTATACAATTAAAACACTAGTAAAATACCACAATGGCCTTCATCTGGAGCCGCTGTCATTGACATTAAAACCTCACAGATGCCAACTCTGGTATGCAGTTCTGACCCATTGAGGGGAGGCCAAGTAAAGAGGGACGGACTTCTGTCGCCCTAATTAAAAGCCTGGAGGAAGAGCTCTGTCTTGCAAGCCCTGCGGAACTGTAAAAGGTCCCACAGGGCCCTGATCTCGTATGGGAGCTCATTCCACCAAGTAGGGGCCAGGGCTGAAAAGGTGAGGTGGACGTCCCTGGGGCCAGGGCCCGCATGAAGATGTTGACTGGCGGGCCATTAAGCCCTTTAGGGAACCACGGAGCACAGATAGAAGGGAGCCACAGGGCACAGAGACAACCACTAGCGATGTGCAAAGAAATTGTATTCAATGTTCTTCTTCAATTTTTAGAGCGTTTGTATAGTTTTCAATTGGAGACACATTTCTACGTGTGACCGTCTCCCTATTAAATGGGATGAAATCCTCAGTGAATGCACCCCCTCATCCAAAATGACATCCCTACCAATTTTCAGGCAGGTAGCAGAAAGCTAAACTCCAACACAGGAGCTCAGCTTGCTGGGGGGGGGTTGGGGGGGGGGGGGGGGGCACACTTCAAACACCAGAGAAATGAGGGGAGGGAGGTTTGCACCTCTACCCAAGGCACCAGAATAGTCATTTCTAAAGATTCCCAATTTAAAAACCCTAAGGACTGGATTGATTATTATGCCTATATTAAGGAAAGGAAGTATTTTTGTTTGGATTTTTATTTGTTCACTTCCAAACGCACAGTGTTATTAGCAACAGGAGACCCAGGAGATGCCTAGGAATAAAGAGGCTCCCAGAAAGTTTCAGAGGGAAGGCACAGAAGACGGATCCTGAGCGCTGACATGAAAAACGAAAGAATCCAACACTCGAGTCCAATAGCACCTAAGAGACCAACAAGATTTTTAGGGTATCAGCTCTCAAAAGTCAAGGCTCCCTTTGCCAGATACCAAGTGAAAAATCAAAATGAAGCCTTCTCACGATAATGTCAAGCAGGGGAAAAACTGCTTTCATCACTAACCTGAGAAGTTTGTGAAAAGCCGTGAGAAAGCAGAGAAGCGGTTTCGGTGCAGCCACTGCTGAGCTTCCTGAGGTGTGGACGTTGGCAGAAGGTTCTACAACAGAAGAATAACATTTCCTTAGAGAGGGGAACAAAGGAACACTTTCAAGAGTCCCTGCATATCAGCTGGAGACTCATATGCAGAAGGGGCCATTGGAGGGAGAAGATCATTCTAAACACGAGTTGGGCTAGCTCAAAGAACCTGGGTAGTGTGGTGGGTTAGAGACTTCGACCAGGATCTGGGAGACCCAGGTCAAAATCCCCACTCTGCGACAAAGCTGACGGGGTCACCAGTTACTCTCTAACTCAAATCTACATCAAAAGCTTGTCTTGGGAGGGGGGGGACCACCCTGAGCTTCCTGGAAGAAAGGGCAGGATAAAAATGTACTAAGACAGACAAACCCCATAGAAGCCTGTGCTGGTAATGAACAGGAGAACATAAGGGACTTACATCTGTAATTGGAGCAGGAGGCTCAGGCTGGTGATTTGGAGACCCGTTTCTAGGTTTGCAAAAAGAAACAGAAGGCGGTTGAGATTTTCTTGTCTCCACTTGCCATTCAATCTACTTAGGCATGTACTTTGATTGAACCCCGTCTTGTCAAAAGTGACAATGCAGATACAGCATCAGCCACCTACAGATTGAGCACTGTCCCTCGCCCCAAACTTTCCATCAATTCTCCCCTCTGTCTTTAACTACGGCAAAAGACTACCATGACCTTAACTGCAATTAACTAAAATAAACACTTAAAGACCTGTTTCAAGCCCTGGTTAAGGCTAACTTCAGCTGCGTTTTAAACCAAAAAGCGATGCTGATGTAGATATGCAAACACTGTTAAGGCCACTGTGGGGAGGGAAAAGGGGAAATCTGCACTCAAGAAGTAGACAGGGACCAAAAATCTGGAGTTCGTTTTTCCTAATATCAATTTTCTTTGTGTTTTTTCCCCTCCTAGAGGCATTTTACAGGAGATAGAGTGTCCTGCCTGGAAACTTAAAACATATTAAGAAAGAATGTTGGTAACTTGCTCCCAGACCAGGAGTCCCCAACATGGTGTCTGTGGGCACCATGACACTTGCCAACATCTTCCCTGGTGCCCGCCAAATATTTTTATAAAGTGGGTGGGGCCAGGTGGGACTTTTCTCCAGCAAGGCTTCTGACTGGCTGTGCAGACATTTTAAAAGTATTGCTTTGGCCGGCACTGCCTCCACAGCACAAAGACCTTCACTGTGTGACTGAAGGTAAGCTGCGGCAGCCATTTTGTGGCTGTGCCCACCATGCTATGTCAGAATTCCAAAGGTGCCCACAGGCTCAAAAAGGTTGGGGACCCTGTCCTAGACACTGCAAACCAGCAGCTCAGGCAATGGACCCCTTGTTTAGAGGCGTTTGCAAGAAAGCTGAAATCGCCCAGACTTACCCTTCACTGATGGAAAAGCTGCTGTGCGAACTGCTAAAGCCAGGGGATGATACGTTATTGACATATGTGATCTCTGGCCATGGAGAACACTGCAAATGAGAACCTGGTTGTGAGATACTGAGAAGGCACCACACTGGTCAGGCTCATGCGTATGCTATGCAACCACGGGTCTGACGCCTGGAGGAACAACAGCTTCCGTGGTGGCAGGTAGGGCTTAAGACGCATGAGGCAAATGTGGGGAAATGGGGCTCAGAACCAGAATAAGGCTAGAGTGGGTGTCCCAGTTGCAAGTGGGAGCCGTGTAAAGACACTGGAGTACCATCCTTCTGCCTTGCCCCTTAACACTTGTGAAATAAGCTCCAGCCTCCGTGGTCTTGTCTTTTCACTTCCTTTTTACCACCCTATGCTTCAATAAACAAAAGGCACCCCTCATTTCTTTGGATTCTTAAGCAAAAACAAACAGCTATTTATTCTACAGTTATCATTTGCCCTCGGAGGAGGCCGCAGAGTGCACACAGCTACAGCTTCTTGGAAGCCACAGGAAACAAGGCCTGCACTGAAAACTAATTGAACTTCAAAGCTCATTGGTCTCCCCAATGGGCAGGATGAGAGGAAATTAAGGAAGAGACAATTGAGTGGTTTTTTTGTAAGGCAGCTAATCAGAACTACGTTTGTAAGAACAAACTCTAGCCCTTTTGAGTCACACATCAGTCATAGTCAGGGTCATTAAAGACCAATAAAAGGAAGAATTTTTCCAGCTCTCTTTGAACTCATGCAGGGAATCATGATTCTAATCAGTTTGCGACTCTGGTCTGGTTTAAACATGAAGCTGGTACATGGAAAAGCCTTAGCGGTGAGGGGTTCCTATTGAAACTAGGTCAATGGCACCAGGGAGTACAACGTTAGTACACAGGGGCTCCAGTCCTAGGAGTGTATCACAATGCAAGCCCATGCTGGACACACAATGCTGCCAGAAACCTTACTTAAAAGTGATGCTGGGTGCATATAGTCAGAGACAGAAGTTATTTCAGAATATACAGGCATGTGTATGTGGCACTAGGCATCAGTCTGATATTCTACTTCAGGGGTCCCCAATGTGATGCCCGGGGGCACCAGGCACCAGCCAACATCTCTTCTGGCGCTCACCAGGTGCTTTTATATCCCATCTATGTCTTAAAGCCAATAGGCAGCTCAACCAGAAAAAGACAGCAATGGAACAAATGGACAGCTCTTCAATATTCATTAAACACCAACAACATTTAATTGCAGCAGCTATATAGTTGCATACATCTAGTGTTATATTAAAATCCAGGTCCGCTAACAGAGTCATTAAATGACAGAAGAACAAACAAGCTTCTTATTCAGTTGAGGACCCAGAAATTTTTTTCTCAGATCCAAATACATTACCCAGTAAAAAAAGAAATGCTCAATAGTTTCCACCAAAGACCTATCACAGATACAAACTCTAGATCCCCTTGCTTGGCCTATAAATTGTCCATGTAAGACAGCAGGTGGAAGTGCTTTAAGGAGGTGGGACCAAATGTCCAGCGGTTTTCTGACTGGTCATAGGAGATTTGATTGGCTGTGCAGATTTTTTTAAAACGTTGCTTTGGCAGCAGCTGCCATCACAGCACACAGATCTTCGCCATATGCCTGACAGTAAGCTGCAGCAGCCATTGTGCAGCTGGCCCTGTCTCCTGCAGCAGCCATTGTGCAGCTGGCCCCGTCTCCTGCAGCAGCCATTGTGCAGTGGCACCCACCACACTGTGTTAGAATCCCAAAGGTGCCCGTGGCCTGGAAAAGGTTGGGGACCCCTGTTCTACCTACTAGATCACATGAGCTTTCAGGGACAAATGAGTCCTTAACTATGGCTGGAGAACTCTGATCCATACCCTGACTACAACCTTGGTGCAAAAGGCTACACCACCGTGGTTATGGAATTTCCTGCCCAAGGCCGTTCACTAGGCCGGACTCCCTTAGTCATTATCTACCCTGTTTTAAATGGAAATTTGTTAAGTTAAAGGACACTTCAGCACTGGGTGCCTCACCTCTGTAAGTATCGTCGTCTCGTACGAAGGCTGATATTTCTCCTTTTCTTGAGGCGTTCGCTTCTCCATTTTCTCCCTGTCCGTCTTTTGCTTCCTATCAGCTCCTTTGGGCTGGAAGCCAGACATTTTAGTTAAAGACTTGTGCTTATAGACCCCAGAAAGGAAATGCCAGGCAAAAACCTAAACTGATAAAGAGATAGCTGGGGCTCTGCACACAACATTTATGCCCCTCAAATATATGAGGAAAGCTGGCAAGAATGAGAAGGCAGTGTGCCATGGAACCTCTGAAGGTACTGAACTGCCACAGAGATACTTCCAAACACTGCAGTTTTTTAGGAGTAGAAAAGAAACACCAGGACTTCAATCTAGAAGAGAACCGCTTAGCTTTTCTGGTCTACTTGGATTTAACATTGTCAGTAAAGATCTCTAACCAATGCCAAAAAAGAACTGTCCAGGAGAACACCTGCAGGCACACACAAGCAGGCACCCTTCCTCTGGGCTGAGGATCCTTCCTTCAGCCTACATGGCTCTTAAACTGGAGAAGAGCCTGTTACATCAGAGGAAAGTTTCAAACTTTGCTCAGGGAGCAGAAGGATATAGGCCATGGCCTTCTGCTATGATTCTCCTTCTCCAGACAGGACAAACAAGGCCATTTCCACAGCTGTATCCTTAGTAGGAAGTTTCCTGCACAAACCAATGTGTTTGATACCAGTCAAGATCTTCTGACACTGGGGGCTGGGGAGGGAGGCTACGTAGATCTTTACTACACTACTGGTTGAGGAGCTGGGATTTGAGGGTTCTTTAGACAGAGTTTGTTTTATTGGCAGCCTGAATAGCCCAGCTTAGGGCAAGCTTGTCAGAGCTTGGAAGCTAAGCAGGGTTGGCCACAGTTAGTATTTGGATGGGAGACCCCCCCCAAGGCTGGCTACATGGAGAAAGGCAGTAGGAAACCACCTCTGCTGGTCTCTTGCCCGGAACGCCCTGCGGGTGGGGTCACCCTGAGTTGTTTGCAATTCGAATGCACATTCTTCTTGTTTTATTAGGGCTTTCATTTGAAGCTTTAAATACTTTTCCTGCCTCTGATTTTTTTTTAATGCAAACCGTCCCAAGGTCACCTGCCAGTTAAAAGAGTCAGTAGAAGGAAAGACCTTTATCTAAGACCCTGAAGAAACACAGTCAGTCAGAGCAGACAGTATTAAGCTTACATGGACGGATGATCTGAGGAAATAAGCAGTTTCACATGTAAGAAGGACCCTTCCCAGGTGGAAAGGCGGCATAGAAGTTTGGCATACACGGCACCCACTCTCAGGCACAGACAGGAGAAGGGGTAACTAAGTGGGTTACAAACTTTTTAAAGAGGGGAAAAATAAAATGCTTGTTCCTAAGGGGTCCCAGTAAGGGTGCTAGACTGGCAACAAGCCCCCCCCCCGGGGGGGGGGCAAGTGAGCCAGGGCTGGTATTCAACTTTTCCTACCAGGGTTTAAAAGTTCATTCTGCAAATTAATGGCAACACGAAAAACCTGTTCTCCTGCCCCCTTCTGGCATTCTGCATTCCCTTGCTAGAGCCCTGTTGATTTTTATCCGGGTAAGCACTGTGGAATCTGTCCCCAAACCCTAGAAGCAGCAGTAACTGAAAGTGTGCATTGTGGATAGGGATGACGCACAGTGGGCTGTGTCCCTCGAGTAATCTGCCCTGTTCCAAGGAATTTGGGACAGGGCTGCAGTTGCTGACGAGGATCTACCTCAAGCAGACATTACAGGGAGGGCACACAGGAGCGTCTCTTTTTACAAAGGAGCATTCCGCTCACCTTTCTAGTCTGTTCCCCTTTCTAGTCTGTTCCCCCTGTTCTCTCCTCAGTCAAACTCAGCTGTCAAAAGTTAATTCAATAAGTGGAAAGCTACTGGAGGTAGGGTCACCTCTCCTCACCTATACACCCCTTTTCTCTACAAATCAGATCCCATTACCCATTGTATACGATCAAAGTAGACCTGAATTTAAAGAAACCTGTCTGCTGCATCTAGCTCAGACCTCAGAAACTATATCCATGAGACAGGTGTCCCTAACTGAACTAGGGCCCTTGTCCTTCCCATTCCACAAAAATGTAGAATGTGTCAAGTTTTCTTGTAGGAGATATTCTGATATTTCACCCACAATCTTAATGTTGCACTTTCATTATCTGCAGCTCAGAGAGTTTGCAGCCACACGTTCCCCAGGAAAGGCATTTTATTTGGGGAGACCTAAGCTGGTACCGTAGTGACAGGACAGCTCCAGTCAAAAGATGTCTGGCTCAGACACCCTTGGGAGTGAATAGGGTTGTTTTTTTCTGTGGGTTGGGTCATCCAGCCAACTGGGTCAGGTGACAGCTTAGGAGTCAGAAGTTTATTTAGACTTCAACATGCAAACATCTCCTCAAGCCACACACTCATAAAAAACATGTTGAACACCAATGCCAAAGTTTTGTGTAGAAAAAACTAGTTTCACATACTCAGTGCAACAAATTAAGATTGCAATTATTCCAAGGAGGCATATCTGGAGGGTTTTAAGCATAAACACAGAATCCAGACTCCAAATACAAGTAAAGGGGGAGAGAGATGGACATCAGAGCCTGCACATTCCTGAGTCTTTTGAAAAAGCACATATTCTTATATAATAATTGTCAGCTTCATTTATAAACTGTCTCTCTCACCAAGGCTGAAGATGGATTACAAAATACAAAAATCAGACAGCAAAGACCTTCAACAAACAATGCAATAGGACCAGGATTACAGAAACTGACAATGTAAATAAAAGATGTCTATGGCAACAAAAATATAGTGCTAATTTCCCACCGTTAGGGTAAATGCAGCTAGTCTTGCTGCTGTGTATCATGAACAGCTAAAGCCTCAGTGCTAGACAGCAGGACCCTTGGATGTATGAAAGGTACAGGAGAGTTGTTGAATATGGAGGCAGGGTTGTCCGAGGACATTTTGAACATTAAGGTTTCCACTGAGACAGGGTTAGAATCTTATCCAAGGGAACAGCTTTGTTTTGCTTTTCTAGACCATTTCAGGCATTAGTCTCCTACAACACACATATACCTTGAAGACTTTGATCTGACAGCTGGCAGAATGCAGGTGCTCTGTATATTCCCCATTCTCATTCTCCTTAAAGGTGTCAATCTGGACCCGGAACGGCACGCCCTTCTCTCCACCATGCTTCCTCATAGTGAATTCTGTACTGATGCAATGGACCTGCAAGGAATGCGCCAAGCTGCAGCCTTATTGCTGGTACAATGAAAACTGTGCATGGACTGATTCTCCATTACCATGAAGCATGTTACGGCAAAGGAAACTAACCAGTCTGGGGACCCTGGTCTGCCACAGCAACCTGAGAAATCCTAACCACAGAGAGAATATTTCCACCCTGCTTTCTGCACCTGCTCTTTTCATTGCAAACAAGGGTTAATTTTAACGTCTGTACCAAGAATCTTCACCTGAGAACAGAACTGCTGTTTGCATCGAGGGACAAGGAGCATATTTTTATTTGAACTGAAAACTCCAGAAGCCAGGGTAAGAAACAAAATGGCAGTAGATGTGCTACCGCTGTGGAAGAAGGGGACGGTGTACCCGCATGCAAGGGAGAACTTGTCAGTGAGTGACAGAGGGGAATAGGGATCATGGATCAGATTCTGTGGAGGCAAAGACAGCCAATCTCTTAAGCTTGCTCCTAATTATCTTTCAGCAAGGACAGTAAGCTGGGAAACACATCCAACATGTGTTTGGCTTTAAAGCTCAGTGCCGACATACATTTTCCTGATCTCTTAGAGGGACTAGAAACACTGCATAGATTCATATAATCCTCTGTCATCAATCCCCCCCTCCCAAGGCTGCCAAGTTCACGTTCTCCCTACTCTCAAATCCACCCTGCTCTTTTCATTGCAAACTAGGGTTGATTTTAACGTCTGCAATACTAACCATAGGTAGCTTTAAATCAGAGCTTGTCACCCATTCTCCAAACTGTGCAATAAAGTAACTGGGACAGCTGTTAATACTAGTACTGATCTGTGCTGGGGAGGGGAGGGTTTGAACAAGAGGGGAAGGGAGCATCAGTTTAAGGGCCTCTCTTGATGAAAAGAGTGGGAAATGCTGCAACAGTCCGCAGGACTGAAAGGGGGTCCAAGGTTAACAGAGTGGGTTATCTCGCTTTTCCTTTGTTAAGACACACTTAAGGCTTTCAAGCCTACAGAGCAGTTAACTGCAAAAAGTGTAAAGGAGAAACTGGGCCTTGAGCTGGAAGGAAAAACAACAAACACACAACTTGCTTTCAGGTCACAAAAAACTAATCCAGAGCGGACAGAGCAGCCATCATTCAGGAGACAGCTTTCCTAGCTCACCCATCGACTTTGCAAGAGGGGAGGGGCAGCTACCAACTCAAGGTGTTGGTGCCGCGCCTCTAGTGGAAAGCTACCTCTAATAAGTTGTGATAGCAAAACACAGGCCAACGTCGCCCTGGGCCTTTGAGACGGATGAAAGGATCAGTAGTCCCATGGTATACGCCTTGGATGTACAGCCTTGATTCTGAGCAATTTATTTGTCTTCAACAAGGTACATCTGCCCTTCTGAAGGCTTCCAACAAGGTCGGTCCTTTGTTTACTTTGGCAACAGTGGCCTTGCCCCCAGGGCAGGACAAAACTCCCAGGCTACAGCTAGGCAGCAGAACCGCTTTTCCCATCCACTCCCCCCCAACCCCCCCCCCACATCATGCATTTTCACTGCAATGAAACAAATGGCAGCTCCATCCAGCAGTCCTGGCATTCTGGGCTGCCAGTTAGGTTTGTCAAGTGCAATCAGCATTACTCTGTAGTGCAAGAGTTTTCAGAGTACACTGTATGAAGCCTCGCTAGTGGAGAAAACAGCAAGAGTCCAGTAGCACCTTAAAGACTAACAAAATATGTGGCAGGGCATGCGCTTTCGTGAGTCACTGCTCACTTCTTCAGACACCTCCTCAGATTCTTCAGTACCTGAAGAAGTGAGCAGTGACTCACGAAAGCTCACCCCCTGCCACATAAGCTCACCCTCTTTAAAGTGCTACTGGACTCTTGCTCTTTTCTACTGCTACAGGCAGACTGACATGGCTACCCATCTTGATCTACCCCTAGTGGAGAGTCCAAGTTGTTTGAGCCTTCCCTTAGCTGTGGCTAAGAGGAAGACTTAGCTGCCTCCCATCAGTGATGGCCAGGCCGGCTTAAGAATCAACTGTAGGGGCTATCCCGACCCAAGGCTGACAAGTCTAACAAGAAACCGCCACAACCGTGTCAACTCTCATTTGAAAATGGCAGCCAAGATTCTGAAACGATACTTTGTGATTGAGCGGGCCACTAAAAGCCAGATCACAGAAGACGGAAGGCCACGGGGAACCAGGAGCACATCTTGAAGCAGGAAAAGAGAAATTGCTCCTTTATCACATTGACTGGCGAACTAAGAAGGGCTGCGTGATGATCAGATCAAGAGATAGAGAGCGTCAATCAAGGCACACAGCAGGTGGTGGTGTGGTCAGGGTCAGAGAAAAGGTCACATCTGTCCCCTCAGCTGAAAACAGCTTGATTCACAACTCTGAGCACCGGTGCTTTTAAACTGACCGAAAGTTGCACTTCTGTGCTCTCTAAACAATACTGGAACAAAGTAATACCCTTACTGAAAAAGACAATTATTTATATCTACCAGCTGGGTTTCTGCGTGGGTGTCGGGCGCCGGGGGGGGGGGGGGGGGGGGGATCTAGGGCAGGCACCTTGTATATATCTTGGTTTACCTGAATAAACACTGAAGTCCTCTTTGAGGGATCCCAAAGAAACTCTACAGTATTCAGCTGCGTCGGGTTTGCCCTGGGATCAATTATACCCACAGACATTGGAATATCTGCAGAAGAGAAAAGCCACACAGTTTAGAGCAAGGCTGGAAGATGCAATGCAAATGCCAGTAGATAGGCGTAGGAACTTAAGGGACTGTATAACTGAAGGGAGGGGAAAGAATTCAAGGGATGAGCAAATTTGGTAGAATACACAACCAAGTGTGCTGCTATTGCTTTAAGACAAGACTGCAAAGCCTGTTGAACAGGAGCGTGGAGGCCACAAAAAACAAGGCTGTGTGCACAATACATTAAAACAACCCCAAATTCTGCACAAAGAACAGATTCTGTGACCTGCAATTTAAAAGCTTATTATTATTATTATTTTCTGTAATTTGTTCAGCTTCTATTAATCATGGGAACAAAAAAGAGGATGTGACAGAAAACCACGTAGGAAACAAATGTCCCAATTTTCTGTACTGGAAATCTTATCCAAGATCTGACACTCCAGCTTGTGAGATATTAACAAGCACTTTCAGGGCTCTATTTGCTGCCAAAAGGACTAGTTTGCCATGACCCAGGGTGATAACTTCTGGCCCCTGCTACCCAATTGCACACTGACAGGTCACAGGAAACCCTAATGATTTAGGTAAAAGAAGTTACCAAAAAAGCATTCACACTGAAGCCTTCATGGGCCTCAACATCAGCATGTTCTTTCACTACGGAATCCTTCATGGACCAGAGAGCTGAATTTAAGGCAGTAAATTAATGCAGTATTGATGGGAAATGATGTCTCCCCCTCTGCCTGGAACAGCAGCTTCCCAGACAACCCAATTAAAAACATTAGGACCATAACATTAAATAGGATGAAAAGGCCTTCCAGCTTTCCATTCTGTGTAAAGGTATGTATGTATGTCTGCTTGGCGCGGCTACAGAAGAAGGCATGCAGTCAGGATCGCAGTGCTCCCACAGTTCCTACACTTGTGCACTGCTTGGGAATGGTGATTACAGTGCAAACAGCTCAAGACAACCTGAGATGAGACCGTGAGGCCACATTTGGTAGGGGAAGTCAACATTAAATAAAAGCCCCAAGACCTTAGAGGCACCTGGGCTGGAGGAAACATTCCTTTGTGGCACATGAAATACAGCAAGAAGTTGTATCCTAAAAGCACCTTGAATGCTGGGGGCCTGCCTGGTGACCACTTTTTACTATCCTTTAGGCGCCTGGGCAAACATTTCTCTTTAACCGTGCTTTTTAACGTGGTTCTGCTTCATGGCTGGCTTCTAGCCTGAGTGCTGCTTCATAGGTAGAGTTTTAGGTTTCTTAGTGTTTATTACAACACTGGAGAGATAAATGCCCACCTCCCATAATCCAATGGATTGAGGTCCTTACAACCTTATCCACATTTGAATGCGGAGCATATAGACAATCAAGTACACACATATTTGTAGGTATCTGGAAACCTTTTGTAGGTGCTTATGCATTGACTCTTGCCATTATTGTTGTATTTTCTGCTTCTTTTCTGTTTGGGGGTTGTAATTTAATTTTAAAAAAAATAAATTCTAAATCGCTTTTTAAAAGAGCACAATATAACAAAAACTCAATGGACCAGCATTATACTATCAGCTGTGAATACTGTCACTTCACTTTGGTGAGAAGAAGGTCTCCTAAGAACAGACCAAGTTCTCCAAACCAGTCCCTGCCAGCAAGGCTGCTAAAAGGAGTTTATGGCCAAATGTGCTTTCTCCTCTTGAGATACTTTTTCATTTTCAATTTCCCAGCACCTGAAATGCCATAGTTTGACACAACATATGGTATTTCCCCTTCAATTCCCGGTTGGTTCAGGAACATGCAGTTGGGAACAGGGAAATTTCTCATTAGTAAACAATTCACCAATTGTAAATTCCCCACAGCTAGTGAGGTCAGAATAAGAGTTTCTTGTCCATGGCCACCCCCCTCAGACAATTCCAAAGCCCAGGCAATCACAGATTGGTGTCTGTATTAAGAAGACTGGCCCATCTGCTTTACACTGGACCTCATCCAGTAACTGGAAGAGGCCAACCCAGCTAGCGTTAACAGAATACAGTATGTGGGCAGGAGCAGCGTCTGTATGAATAACCTTGATGGAGACAGCACTGAAGGGTACCTGACAGGGTACCAGGCTGTGCAAAAGAAGCACCAAGTCCATGCAGGAGGGCTGTTAACTAGCCCAGGAATGCGAGGTCTACCATGTCGCAGAGGATGTTGCTGTGGGTTCGCCTATCGCCAGCAATCCCTGCCCCAAGGAACTCTGGCTGAACACACAGCAGTTTGTGCCCGGAATGCGGTGGGCAGAAGTCTCATCGGACCTTGCACAGCTCCAAGTCCTCTGTCCCATTCGCCAGGCTTTTGAGGGATCTTTTGCCTTTTGTAATTCAGAAGTTTTAAATTATTTTTAAACATTTTAAAAGGCCCTTTTCTTGTGTATGATTTTATTATATTGTTTTCTCACTTTGGGAGCCTTCCCAAGAATGTCTTTGGAGAGAGTCAGCCTATACATTTTCCAAATGCAAAATCCTAAAACCCAAGCAGAGAGTCAACCCATGCTACATCGCAACTAGCAACAGCAGTTCCTGGTATGCTGTACAAAAAGCCACTATGACACTATTCTAAACTTTTAACAGGCACTCACCGATGTCAAGTATTCTGTCCCCTGGTCTATTCCACCTCCAGCCTTCAAGCTGCTGATGCTCAGTATACTGAAGCCGTCTGTCGTGGAACACCACTCGAAATATACTCTGGCCAACAAAGATGGAGCTGGTTAAAAGACACGCCTGGGAACTTATTTTGAGTTTAGGAAAATGAAACAGGGAAGGAGCCCCCCCCCCCCCATTTCTCTTTAAGATACACACGCTACATTCAAAATCTTGAATGGGAACTGGAATATTCATGTGTAAATGCCCGCATAAGGAAAGTTCTGCTTGCAATATGAATTGTAAGAATGGGGCACCGCTGTGTTAATGCGTATACACAAGGCACTGGTTCACATTCAAAATTCCACTCAAACTGGCAGAAGGACCATGAACCCAAGACATATTCCCACACCTCAGCACATGTATATTCTACACATCCAGGCCAACATGTCAGCAGGAAATCAAGTTTCTGATCTCATTCACACATGCTTACACATCACTCGATCCTCCTACACTTGATGCCTGACAGCAGAATGTGCAAACAGATTCCATTAAAAGTCCCCTTTGAAGTGGCAAGAACTTCCCTTATCGGTTGTGTTTGATTCATGATGCCCACTTACAAATTCATCACTTGATGGCCGCCACCATCAAGTGATGAACATCGGATGCTGTCAAACAATGTACTACAGCTACAGACATTTTTGTTTTATTTCATGTTGCCTTTAACAGTTATTCTAAGTTCAGTCAATTTGGTTCAAAATCCCATTCTTAAAGCTAGGCCAAAACCCCTCCTTTCTTCACCATGTTTGTAAAGACAGCTGCAAAATTACCTCTGAAAACCATCGTCGGTCAAGAAAAAAAGATCCTTCCAGCAGGACATTTATCAATTAAATTGGACTTCCAGGTTGGTACTAGAGATGTCAAACTTCTTCAAGTGGGACTCATTTCTAAACTTGCTCCCCTTTCAGAGATGCACTGGCAAAGTAACTTCATGATACTTTCTCCTTCCCAAACACATCTGTATCAATTAATCCCGAACTAGTGTATTTTTCACATTTCATATTTATAAAGCAATAACAATACTGAGCGACAGGTTTATCTCAAAGCTATTTTGCCCATTACATCCAGGTTTTGGTTATGCTCACCAAGTTCTTTCTCTATTAATACTGGATAGGTTATGGTTCTGGTCACCATAAGAGCCAGAGAAAGTTGTTCATGGTACCTGAAACTCTAGTTAGTGGGTATATGTTGTTCTTTGAAGGGTTTGGACCAGGGGTCGTTTCGTAGACAAAGAGCTAGGGGAACTCATTAGCATAACTCATTAGCATATGCCACACCCCCTGACATCACCAGAAGTGTGTCATAAGGCCACACCCCCTGACATCACCGGAAGTGTGTCATAAGGCCACGCACCCCGCCCCCAACGGTCCCGGCCGCCGCTGCCGGCCTTGCAGCTCCACTGCTGAGCCCCATGAGGGGCCCGGCGGTGGACCTGCAAGGCCAGTGGGAGTGCAAGGAAGCCCCGCGAAGGCCCTCCCTGGCCCAAGGCAGGCAGGGGTGGGGAGAGGCAGGGAGGAAGCAACTTACCCTCCCTCTTCTCCTGCCTCCTCCTGGCTGAATGAGGGCCGGAAGCGGGGTGACCAGAAGCAGGGGGCGGGGCTTCGTCGATCCCCCCCGAAATGACCTCTGGTTTGGACACTCGGCTGGTTCAAGCAAGACAGCTCATTTGGGAGTGCAAATATTTGCTGCTGAAAAACTACATATTCCCAGAGACCAGGCCCTTTCTCAGATTGTGTGTGAACCAGACCTAAGATTATGAGAGATCCCCAAAACCACATATTAGATGTGTCTTTTTTTGTGGGTAATGTTCAGCACTACACAACACATGGCTTCTCATACAGTAAACACGTATCTGAAGCTACCTTGGCCTTGGACACTTTTTGCATGCTTTCTAACCACCCCTCAACCTGCAAGGGAAGAAAGTCTGCACCCTTTCCATTACAAAAACAAGAAGCCACTACATTGACACTACACTGTGCTTTCGATTCCAAAGGTGTGCACAGCACAGCATCTAAAGAATATGCAACCTCAACAGCTGGGGGGAAAGAATGAAACGTGGGAAGAAGCTAGGAAAACTAAGCGGTACCTACACTAAACTAAGTCCTAATATGGGAATCTTTTCCAGGGGACACTCAATATCTTATGAGGCAGTTACCAAACCACTGACTACACCCTTGTTCACGCAAGCAGCTGCTCAAAGTTACCTGCCTGGAAATAATTTCATATGCTAAATACTGAAATTACACACCCTGGAAATTTAGGGCCATAGAAGATATGACAGAGATCCAAAATTAGGATTTCTCACAGCTTTTTCCTTTAGAACACCAACTAGCAGCCCCCACCCCCAGACCGTTCAAAATCCAGGAAATTGCTATAAGGGCAACAAATATTTACGTAGCTCTTTCCTCCCATGATTTTTAGGAACCCAGTACTGCCTTTTTCCTCCTATGGAGTCAACTAAAGTGCAGCGTGGCAGGTGGGCTGAAGGAGAAGGAGGAAGACAAGATTAAATAGACTCCTTCC